ATAAATTAAATTATATATTGTGTAGCTTTATCAGACTGGTTTATTTTACCTAAAAATATGCATTTAAGTTTCATTCATGTGCTTTCATGATTTGATAGCTGTTCTTTATAATGGTAAAATTATTCCATTATGTGAATGTACCAGATTGTTTATTCACCTACAGACGAACTTTTTGAATGTTTATAGTTTTGGGAAAATATAAATGAAGCTATTGTAATTACTCATGTGTGCTTTTCTTTGTGGACATACTTTTAAAGTCAGTTAGATAAACACTTAAAAGCATGATTGCTGGATTGCATAGTCAAAGTGTGTTAGAATTTGACTAAAATTGCCTCCTAGTAGTTCTGGGAAGTGGGGGGCACTCAGCCGACTCTGTCTCCTTGTGGGAGGAATCCCAGTGCTCAGGGTGGGGCCTCCTGGGTCGATAGAGGCCCAGCTCCCTCTCAAGCCTTAGGGACAGCAGCACTTCTGCTCTGGATGCACACTAGGAAGCAGATGCTCCAGAGGTGCATTGCCCAGGACCACAGAGATGCTCAGGACTCAGGTAGGAAGGGGCTCACTGAGGAGTAGATGTGGACTAGACAAGGAGGGGAGCTTCTGGATAAATCCTGGGTCCTCCTTTAGCTGAACCATATCAAACCATCGGGAGACCTTCCACTACATTTTGGTGACCCATGCCCTGAACTTTCCAAACTCTAACACAGTAAACTTGGTGAATTTAGCTGGAAGTGTGAAAAAACTGAAATGAAAACGACTCAAGTTGATTCTGTAACAATTGATCATTTTCCAGGGAACATCCCAACAATATTGATAATAATAATGTTAATGTCAAAATCCACACACTGTCAACGTGATGGCAGTGTGTCTCATGGTATAATGAATTTATTTACTTGAAAATTGTGTTCACACCAGTCTTTTCCCACAGAAAATCCCACTTTCTCTTCTCACATGTCAATTTCAGCAGCCTGATCCTCAGAGTTGGAATCAACGTGTCCTCAGGATATAGGAGGGGAAATCACTAGCATGGCCCTGGAGTCCTGGTGCCAGATCCTTCTCCATCTTTTTGGGAATCAAATGCGAATATTCTGTATCAATTTGAATAACTTTATACATAAATTATGATTCAGTTTACAAGAATGTTACCTCACACACATACACACATAGGTTTTTAATATTTGTTTGTTGTCTTTTCCATAATAATCTCTTATAGTGTTTTACATTTATTTAATGTATTAGTTTTATTTTAATTTCATGTCGGTTTCCTCATTCCTTCCTCTTTGTATTGCATTTCCCTATAACTATCACGTATTTTATATACTTTGCAATGTAAAGCTCCTGGTGCAGCCAGCAGGGGCAGGAGAAGGAAATGGGTCACACTCCTGACCCTCCCTGTACAGCCGCAGGTTCCCAAACACAGAGGTCCTTGCTCTGCACCTTCCCTGGGGACAGCTTTCTTATTGGTGGGTCCTGTGTTTAATTAATGAGAGTTTCTGTTTCAGGGGTGCCGACCCGGGTACAGCTACTGAATCCACTGCAGGAGTGGAAATAAGCTTCCAAAACACAGTATCACCCGAGAGACAACTGAGTCCATCCCTGTAGTGCCATGTGAATTCCAGATTCCTGAGCAGAGCCCCAGAATCATAAAAACTTATCATATGTGTCCTGTGCTGTGGGTATTCTGTGTCCCTGCACGTTCAGCTACGTGTGTGGTGCCACTTACACTTAATGAGATGAGATTCCTGCTGCTTCTGTCGGGTCACTGGTGATGTCTGAAGCTACTTCTGGTTTCTGCTTTAATATGTAAAGAGCATGTCAATCATCACCCACATTCTTACAATAATATAAGCCTGGAAAAT